GAAATTACAACAATAATGTTAGATCAGACTCTGAACTTCACTCAGATGTTGAATAACAACACCTTAGTATCGTCAATAAAACATTTCTTAGTACCCGATTGATTAAAAGGAGACATTAAAGAAATGCCAGTGAAAAAAACTTGTAAACTTATTCTGGGTGAAAACGTACATATGTCACTCGCTGCTTTAGCTGTTGATTCTCCTCCTGAAGTTGACAGATTTGGGCGTTAGAACCACTCATGTCAGATGAGTCTTCCGTCTGTAAAAAATGATGGATGAGAGGTTACAAATGTGCCTTCCCAAAAACAAAAAACGGTGCCAATGATGCCTTTAAAACACCAAATTCACAATGAATCACCACAGCCAAAGCGTCACACACCTCCTTGGTCTTGTGCTGCTCTGCCACAACCTCCACCTCTCCTCCGTTCTTCTTATCCCTATCCAGCCGGGCCAGCAGCTCCTGGCACACCTTCACCGTCGCTTCCAGCTGGCTGCGCATCTGGTCAGCCTCCTCGGCCAGCGATGTGCAGAGTACGGCTCTGGTGGCCTCGGACCGCTCCCTCTCCTCCAGGGCCAGGTGCAGCCGGTGGATCTCCCGGTCCTTCTCGTGGTCCGGCTGCCCCCTGACGCCCTCCAGCTCCAGATCCTTCTCCCTGAGCAGGGCATTCACCCTCTTGATCTCCTGGAGGAAGAAGGAGAGATGAATTGCATGACTACATCAGTTTGAAATGGGCATATTGTGTGTAGTCAATATGTACAAATACAATATTTTATTCTGATGTTTGCTACTGACACATGTTCTGTATTTGATCCTGTTTTAAATCATATCTTCTTGCAACTGTCTTTGAACATATTTTGTTGTAAATAAACATTCAATATGTACAAATACAATGTGTTATTCTTGTGTTTATTACCAATACATGTTCTGTATTTGATGATTTTTTAATTCATATTTCTACTTGCATCTCTGAGGATGTCTTTGAACATATTTTTCAGTAAATCATTTAAAATAAAATGTTTAAAACATATCCATGACTTCAATTCTATAACTCACAGCAGGATGACAGAAACAAGTGTGTATTCTTAGTTCTTGACAAATACTTATGGAAAGTGTACCTTCATGGAATCAAACAGACCCTTTCCACTGTACTACATGTTTCCCATCAGCTTATTTTGTATGTAGGAACATGTATCGGCATGGAACAACATCAAATGATCAGTTTTTTTCCTGAATTTACCTCTGTTTGTCGAGTTTCCTTGAACTCCATGTCGTTCTTCTTCTGTTTCAGTTTGCATATTTCTTTACACAGGCTCTCCAGCAGAGACTTGGACGGCCCTATGACTACAGACTGGTTATCTCCCACCGTCACGTAGATCTTCTCATATCTCCCCAGCCTCGTTTTTAAGTCTGCGATGATATTATCCTTAACATAAAGCTGCTTGTTCAGGAGGTCTATTTCCTGGCGCGTCTCGTGATACAGAGTGTTGAGCGTGCTGCAGCTCCGCACGGTCTCTCTACGAAGATCCGAGTTCATACTGACGTTATCCATAGTTTGCTCTGTAGCTTTCACAGTATGATCAGTCTTTTAATAATCCAGCATTTGGCAGCTCTTCTTATCGCCCTGTGTCTTTAGAAATGGACCGAGGAAGTGAATTGTGTCGAAGGTTTTGCGCACCGATGTGGAGAATAATATCCCCCATTGGGGGATTTCCTGGGGAACTTCCCCGCGGACTTTTTTTTAGCTTCGTCAAACTGAGTCTGCTCTCAGACTCACGGTGCACCGTCACTGGAAGGTAATAGGGGTTTTATAGCCTGCTGGCACAAAATGTTAAGAAAATGAAGAGACACAAATCTTCACAATTAGCAAAAAAGTTTAAAGGTAGGCTACCATCAGCAATGGCGATGATGCCTTCACGGCCGTCGTAAATTCGCACTCTCCACACAAGAGGTACATGTGAACGCAAAGGAAAAATGATAACACTGTTTGCAAAACTGTTAACCACAAAATGAGTGGTGTTGTTTTGTTTTTGCACAGGTGTAAGCAGTTGTGTAAAGTAACTAAGTATATTTACTCAAGTAGGCTACTGTACTTAAGTATTATTTTGTCATACTTGTACTTTACTTGACTATTTTAAATTGAATGCTACTTTATACTTCTACTGCCTCACATTTTGTATTGTATTTTTTAGTCCACTACACTTATTTAAGAGTAAAGCAATTAAAAGAAGGAATCCTTTCATATTCTAGAATATACTACTTTCAAAACAGCCATGGTGCATAATGGGTACTTTGACTTGTGATACTTTAAGTACATTTAGCTGCCAATGCTTGTAAACATTTTGAATGCAGGATTTTCACTACTACCACCACTGGATGTAAGAAGTAGAAGTTCTATAATGCACCTCATCCCCCCATAAGAAACAGAAAGTAGCTTAGACCTTAAATGAAATCCCCTTTGTTTTTAGCTAATATTTTACATGGGATGACACATAATAATTCCTTCAAAAGCATACAATTCGCTCATCGGTAGTTTACAAAATTTCCAGGCATCCCACCCCCTAAACTTTACATTAGTGCATTTGGAGTGTCGCAACAAATTCTCCAAATACTTAAGAGGTATTGATTTGTAGCCTTTAGTGCATATAGGATCATAATACCTGAGTTTACCACACATACTGTTAGTTATATGTTTTTTTAAAACTCACAGCAATATCAAACAGTATAGTGAGTATGTTTTTGGAGATTATGCTTGTATTTCAGAAGGGAAAAAGTACATTAGCAAAGCATCTCTTCCCTGAGGTGTTAAATTGACGTATTGACATTTCAGTTAATTCAGTCAGGATTGTTCAATACAAATAAATTGAATTGATTCCAAGTTAAAAAGACAACAGGAAAAAATAAGTAAAATTATTAGTTTAAAAAAAAAAGGCACCAACATAATTTATTGTTCCTGATGTTTCACATACACTTGATTTATGATTGAGTATCAATACAACAGTGTAAAGTGTGATTACAATTGAATTAATGTGGTTAAATTAAAAAACTATATTTCCATTTGAAATGTGCTGGAGTAGATGTATAAAGTCACAGATAATGGAGATACTCGGGTCAATTTGTAATTATATATATATAATAATTATTTCAATCACAACTCTGTATCTAAGGCATCTAGATGATTTGCAGGCCCAATTCAGGGTTTATATGAAAACGCGCACAGCCCTTTAACAAACAATGCATACAGATTCATAAACACAACTTGTTTAAAATGAATGTCAATGTTCAAAATCTCCATTCCCTTTAGGATTTTACCCTGCACTACACAAACAATCATGCATCTAATCATTATCAGGTCAAATTGAAACTGCTGTCTAGACTGTAGGTGTAGAGTTAAACCCCTTTAGGATTCATTAAAGAGCATCATTAGTGCTACTGGCCGGTGGGGAGTCCCAGGTATTTCTGGGTCAACACACCATAATTTCACATAATGGATTTTGAGGTGAGTCATTGAGGCCACATGGCAGTCACGTGACAGTTGACAGAGCCACATGAATCAAGGTGTGAAGTGTGTTAAACCCATGAGGGAAGAGTTGTCATGGCGGGAATTTGAGTGAATATTTTAGGCCAGTTTCACTTTTGGTGCGATTCTGAAGCAAGTGTGGCTTCCCACCTCACCTGATACTCTGAAGAGAAGTAGCCTGAATATTTTAAATGCCACCCTGACACTCCCATTTTAATTTCACCTATAGTTGCACCTTGATCATGTGACTCCAATAACTCAAATGACAGTTTGCACAGAGAGGTGGAACTCACCCGGGACTGCCCCACTGATTCAGCCTTTTGGACGAGTGGCAAAACCTCTCTAGTCCAGTAGGTACTTTCACCTGTGGGCATAATGATGAGTCATGACTTAGGTGAAACTACCTGTGCACACTTTACTGCACGAACAAAATGAGTTGATACCTCCAAGTAGTTTGTTGAATTCTGGACATGATAAGTTACAAAACAGATTTACATTAAAAAAAAAAAAAGATGGTCTTCACTTCTTAATGTGAGACTGTGCTGCATCTCTCCTATAGATTGCATATCATTATATATTTAATCTTTTAACTTGGGACCTTTATGTCACACACAACACGCAAAAGTCCCCATTAACTGAGGGAAACTGACAGACATTACACTATACTTCTGACAAAAAATACAATTATTAAATCAAGTAAAGACAAATAAATATAAAGTCCAATAGAGGTTCACAAAAAATAAAAGTGGAAAAGGGCACAACCGTAAAATAACAAAATATAATCGAACCAGCGATAACTTGACAAAGCAAACAACAGTTCATATCGGTCATTGTGTTTTTCTATGTAGATAACATGGGATTATCTAAAATATTAGATAAAGTTCATGAGAAAAAATAACAAGTTTGCCTTTTAGAATATTTGTCTTGAATTGAATTACCTGTTTGAAAATGTAAAATCCCCAGGCCTTATTCTGACCCACTGTTAGTGCAAAACAAAAGGGTATCAGGAACATAACAAGTTGTTACCATGCGTTTCTCAAATAAATGCTCAGAATATATAACACTAGCTTTAACATACCGCCAAGCATGAACAGCCTATATCAACATGTTCATGACATATAACTGGCACTATCCGGAAAGGCCAAGATTTGTTTGGAACCATAAACCTTTACTTTTTATTATGGTATATGTCATTGGAAAAGAAAACTTAAAATGCATTGTATTGCAAAGAAATGATCAAATGCATCATTATGCATCTAATTATTACCATGAACAGGTATTTTCATTGGATTCCACTAGATGGTGGTATTTCATTACCAATACCATAAACTGTAAATAGAGACTATAAATATGAGAAAGACTTCTGTGGGTTTATTTTCCATCTTACTGTAGCGATGATAATTATATACAGTCCTTTATTCCACGTTTATTTGTGAGTATATCAGTATCCTGCGACACACAACAATGAAATGAGTCATTTCAAAACATGTAGGCAGCTTTTAATTGCTAAAAACTTTACACAAGAATAAAAGGAAGTATTTGATATTTACACAGTAATACTTTTGGAAAATACTTTACATTGCATATACACACACACAACCACTTGATTATTAGTGCCTAACAAGTAACTTCTCATCAAATCAACACTACCAACCAAAAACATCCTCTAATAGTACATATAAACCAACTTGTGTCACTCACCAAACAACAGGATGAAGATGCAATCCGACATAATAGTTTAAATGAAATATGAAAGTCTGAAATAGAAAAATATTTGTTTTGTCATACGATTGTAGAAAACTATGCAGTAGCTCAAGTACAAAAAGATAACCAAGAGTATTAAAATGTTGAACAGGAAGAGAATATAGCCAGCTATCTCTCATTTTTGCTTGAGAAAACGGTCATACAAAAGCATACACGTTATTGTTTGTCTTTGAACATCACACTACGCACACAGGGATCCAACTTCACTCAATATGCCACAAACAATATCAATCAGTTTTGTTTTTGTAGAACTATGATAGACAATAGTTGCAAAATAGATGCGAATAACGTTTTTGTAGGAACAATTCAGTTCCCCCAAACATCTTACCAGAGTTCACTTTAATTTACCATGGGTTACTGTTTCTTGACCTTTGTGATTGTGTGTATTTTGTTTACCTTTAAGGTGTTTTGAATGTTCCTAAGCAGAGGACTGCTAATGATTCAACCCTTGTTGGAGGAATGCCCCATGAACAAAAAAGTTGTATTATCATTTTCTAAACTCACCCCTCTTGTAGGATTTACCAGTAAGACACATCTGCCTGTGAGTCCATCATTTTAATCCTGGATTTAAAGCGCTGCTAGCTTCCTCTCTAACCGTGTAATTAGTGATTGTATTACACCTTGCACATCAGCTGAGTGTAATAATGAGGTGACAGCAAATTCAGCTCCCCATGAAAACACACAGCACTTTAAAAATGGCCACTAAGGGGCGCCTAATATGCGCAAAATGAATGGGAGTCATTGGAGGAAAACAAAAACCTTACATTTATACAAGTTAGGGTTAGGGTTAGGGACTTCATACCTACTCACTGTAATAGTGTGTACTAGATATAATTGTGTCAAAAGTCATGGCTGTGGAATTTAGCCATGTGTGCTTTTCAAAAATATTGAGGCCTTTTTGATGAATTTAGTTTGAGTGTATATGGGAATTAAACCTTTCAGAACATTACATTTATAGGAATTATAATTATAGAGTTTAGCCAGCAGATATGCTATAAATTGCTTAGATATTGAGCATTTAAAACTATAAACCAATGTGAAACACAGACAATGGTTTGTTTCTATGTCCAATGTCCATGCTAGACTCTAAATAGGAATCTATGAACCATAATAGCTACTTTTGTGAGACCTGGAGAGAGATAATTAGAAAAGAGCTCAACCAAACCATTTCTTCAACAGTGACACATGCAGTTTCTTCCTTCTTAGCACTGTAGCTTGCGGATGCTGCGGGAAATCCTCTTAAACTCTCGCTGTCCCTTCTGCCAGCGCTTCAGAGAGGTGATGACCAGATGGCCGTCCAGCTTCTGGCCCATGACCAGGTAGGCAGCGTGGATGTCGTTCATCTCCTCACAGATGCACTGCAGGCCGTCCTTCAGCCACAGCACAGTCTTCTTCAGGTCTCGCTCCGTCACCCCATTCAGCTTGTAGATGGTCTTGCTCTTGTTCTCCGGCACTATCTTGGTGTCACCGTTGATGTAGGAGATCTCTTTAACCTTGATCTTTAGAGCTTGATGGAAGCAGGAGAGAAAATTATTAAATAAAGATCATCCTTTTTGACCATGTCTTTATTAAAGCCACATGAGAGGGCATTTGCTTTTTGATACAGTTTGGTGCTGAAATACATACAATAATGGAAGTTCAAGTAAGGAGGGATATACAATATACATTTATTTATTTGTGACAAAGTTGATATACTGGGGCCCCTGATCTCCACTGTGGGAGTTACTACCATAATAAAATAGGTGGGTGAACTTACCAAAGTCATTCTTGCACAGGTTGTCCACAATTTCGTTGTCATTTTCATCTGTTTCCTTGCAAGCATCGCACACTCTTGGCACTAAAAGACAAATACAATGTGTTAAATATTACATGATCAACATAAGATGTGCACAAATAAGTAGAACACAGAGATTCATTTGACTACAGTGCATTCTGGTGCAATAAATGGATCGATTAGCGGATATTAAAAATGAAATATTTCTGATCTCATATGCATTTCATGAAGAAGTCCAACAAATGTAGCGTTTACGCACAACATTGGACATGGTACATTTGCAAAGTAAAATATAGTTTAACGAAACCTCACCTTCTTTAGTGGCTGGCACGAGGTTCTCGGCCCCAGCAGGCGGGATGCACAGGTCATTGTCCAGTGGGAAGCGCTCGCATTCCAACATCTTTGGCCAAGGGAAGCCGAACGCGGACATAACGGGCGCGCAGCCGTTCCTGACGCTCTCGCACAGAGACCTGCACGGCTGGATGGGCTCGTCCAGGTCATCCAGACACACGGGCGCGAACAGGGAGCAGAGGAACTTCCTTGTGTCGGGGTGACATTGCTTCTGAATCAGCGGGATCCAAGACGAAGCTTGCTGCAGAACTTCATTCATGGTTTCGTGTCCGAGCAGGTTCGGGAGGCGCATCTCTGTGTACTCTATATCGTGGCACAGCAGGAGGTTTGCAGGAATCGCCTTGCAGTTGTTCTTTTTGTAGAATAAATCATGCTGGCCGAAATTGTATAATCCGTGGATAGCTTCCAAGCAGGGTAGTGATATTACCCACAACACTGTCGAAATAAAGGCCCTCATTTTGTATGAGCGTAAAACCTGCGAAATGTAAATGCGCAATCAGGGGTTCTTGAGCATCAGTCAGCGTGGATGGAGTCTCTGTCAGTGGCAAGCTCCTAACAAGAGGTTTTCTTTCAGGCATGTCTGGGAGGAGTCTGTCTGTTGTGCGTAAAGACCGTTTCTCCATTCAGCACTTGGTTTCCTCACATCAGGAGAACCTTGTGAACACATGTGTCTCCTCAGTCCAGAAAAAATACCAAAACCCTCAGTTGTTACTCCTCTGGGTCTGACAGTCATTTTGGATTTCTAATTATACCTCATAGAATTTTATCACCAGGCGTTTTCTCAACTATTTCCCCTTCTATATTTCATCTCCTTTCCTTCATGGAAATCATAACAAAACGTGCCTGACAGGTTTTACTCATTACGCCCAAATCAACAGAAATATATCCTGAGTGATCCCTTAACTTGCTTTTTTTAGCCCCATGCTGTAAATAGTTTGGAAATGTTGTCAGTGGGGGCATTTAGCTCAGCTCAGTGGAGCGTTAATTTTCCATCATTAGGAGTTCAGCGGGGAAATCCTCCGGGCAGGTCTGCAGGTTATACCACATGGTGATATATTGTTTGCCCTGGTGTGAGAAGCAGACCTCCACTCAGTACACCCTGGGGTGAAACCAAATCTCCTCCTTGTACTGCAGCTCTGGCTCCTCTCCGCTCTCAGACCCCCTGAGCTACAGTCTGGTCTGCAGACAGCAGTGTGGTTCTTCTCAGGATTGACCTCTGAAATGAGTGAACACTTAAATTTCACATGTGATGTTTGTGGAATTTTCTAGCTAAAAGGGTCAATTCACCCAAATTACAGAAACATATTTTCTCACTTATGCATTGTGGCTTCTAGATATTCAGATATATTTTTGTTTTACTTACCAGATTTAGAGATATGTCTCATATGTCTCCTGTTGCAGCCCACAATACAAAGTAGGTACATTTGATTTAATTTGTGGTGCTGAATAATCAGCTGCAACATCTTTTTTTTTTTTTTCCTGAAGCAATGAAATGTTGAGCATCTACTCTAAAACAAGTCTAATGTGCACATCTTGATTCCTGTACTGTCACACTTTAGTCTCAGGACCTCCCTAACAGCTCATTCAATCATTAAGTTAATGAGTCACTTGTGTCAGGTAGTGGGAAGAAGTATTTGAATAGAAAACAAAGTTTTAGTTTATTTTATCTGAATTAAACCTGTCATTAAAGTGTATAGCTATAGGTGTGGCAATATTTTTTTTTTTTTAGCAGAACTCAACAAAGACGATCTTTTGGAAAGAGGTCCCACTTTTTTTCTTTCCGTACAAAAACAAGCCAGAACGTATAAAAACGATTTTGTGAACCTGGCATGCATAAATAGTGTTTTATGCCTAAAGTGCTGCCCCCATACATCTGGTGTTTGACCGTTTTGCTACTCGAGATACAGTGTCGCGCAACTCCTTAACAAAAGAGTCTTAATTAAATCAGATGCATCATACTGACCCGTTAATTCACCTAATTGACATCTATAATAAATATATTGCATCCAGAAACTGATAAATTCGAGCAAAGCCATAGCAGTACATGTTCTAACTGGTGTCTGATGGTCTACGTCTTAGTATGACATTGATGAAAATATCTGACTCTTTAGCAGCTTTGACTTGACTATGTCCATAAGATTGTTGCTAACTATGTCTGTCTACATTTATGGGCCACAAAGGTGATGTAAATAGGGTTTTTAGTTTGTTTTTACTGAAAACAGCTGCCTCTCGGCTGAAAAGCAAGACTTTAAAAGTGTTAAAAGTGAACCAAAACAACAGAGTTACGATAAGTGAAGAGTCGGCTGATTGTTCCCTGTAGACATTTCTCTGTGTGACACCTTTTCATTGGGTATTTGATTTTGTATTATAATAAAAAATCCATGCTATAGCTTTTAAAGAACAAAATGTTTTCAAAGCCTATATGGTATGAGGTTGCATTCAGAGCAAAAACAAGGGTCTGTATTTGTGGGGGTGTGTTGCTTCAGGTACCAGTGAGACATGAAATACGATCCAGGAAGTTTGAGTAACAGAGCCATGAGTTTGAAAGATAATCAAATATCAAAACACTGCACACCAGTTTAAAATACTCTGAGAAAATATTGTCCAATTCTGAAAAGTTATCATGGCGAAAATAATCAATAGTTGCGATGATTTCAACGTAAACTGCAAAACTTCTGACTCATTGTTAAAAAGTAATCTACCAGGAATGGGCATTCATGTGTATTAGATTAGCCACCACATGGCCCTGCTGAATGATGTCAGTGCCGGACGACCCTGCACTTTCTTTTTTTCTATAGTCCTCTGCGTTGGCACCCACCAGACCGACAACATATAACTGAATGAAAAGGTTGATTTTTTTCATGTAGAGCCAATGTTGATCTGAATGTGGCCTTAGAGCAGAGACCTTACTGGGTCTTCAGTCTGTGTCAAAGGTTCTACTTGTTTTTATAGGGCAACGCTCCCCCTCTTGTCCCCTTTCCTTCAAAGTGTGTTACTTCTATTCAGGTCTCTGTAGAAACACTTACACGGCCATTTAAGGGCTGAAACCCCCAATAACCTGCAACTGGACTCCCTTTAGCCGAGCAGCAGTGGTGTGGCAGGTCACATGCTAACCTCTCTTGAACCACTAAATGTGATCAGCTGTGAACGCACACATGATGCACTTTTGGACTGTATATGCAATCTCTTATAGGACATGCATTGATGCGTTCGATATATATCCAAAACATGTGGTAAAGTAGTCTGAGTGATACATCCGACATAATCCAGCTTGTCTAAAATGACAAGAAACAAAGGCTTCAAATGTTGGAAATGGTCCAAAAGGAGATGAATGGACTGCGACTAAGATTGGATAAAGACTCTCCAAGCATAAGGTTTTATTTCTCCAAACACATAACATGCAGTCTCCATTAACAATACGGTATCACAGACAGTTAGGGTCAGAGGTTTGGGATAGATGTAAGCTGATCCGAGGCCTGCGCTTAAAGTCCCCCCAGCAGGCTTTTATTAAGGCTCTGTGTGAAAATGAGACGCAGCTTGTCGGACCCAATGGTCCATCTGTAGCCCGGTAACCCTTCATTTTTTCTTTCCCCATCCACTGCTATCCAGCCCTTTACCATTTCCCTTCATTTTTCATAAAAATCAAGGGCTAAACTACTGTCACAAACAATTACAGGATGTGCAGGTTCAAAAGAAAGTCAAAACCCAGTGGAAATGTTTGAGGATTTATCCGGTGTTCATGAAGACTCCTCAGTGTGAGGAGCATCAAAGCCATCGGGACTGGTCTAATGTAAACCAAACCAACCCTGTTTTTATAAACTGTTTCTCAGCAGATCCCACATAGTCATATTTTTATGCAGAAAAGCTGCATAGCTCAGAAGCATCCTGGAATTTGCGTGATTTGGTGACACTCTTTTTTGCCTTACTTTAAACGAAACACATGTCGTGGATATTTTAAACTCGTCAATACTGTAAAGATGTACAATGAGAGTAATCAATAATAAACTGGTGAAAGCAAACAGCATTGTCTTGTTGGTTATTTATTTGAAGCTTCAAAGGTACAGGTCTCACAGAGTATAGGATAGTCTGCAGGAGTGTGCGCAATAGTCACAGAATAGCAAAGCTTATATACAAGATAGGGCGGGCAGACAGAGTTTTGTGTAGCATGGCAGAACGCCTCAGAAATCTGCTTTCACACGGATGTCTCATATCGCTATTAGACACCTGTGTCCTTGAGCTATAGAAAGTATAACGGTTATCAGCATATGGAAGTTCAAACTTTGTGTGAAGAGGAGTAATTTCAACATATAGTCTGCCAAATCAGCCTTGAAGCGCTTGAGAATAATAACCCTCATTAGAGTATGCAGAGGAAACAGCACATATGAAGAAATGGTACAGTAGTGTTAGACAATGCTCTTAGAAGCATTTGGTTTTAGCATATAAGGTAACATAAGAAATTGCCACTACACACACTAGAAACCCTAAACCGAGATTTTTCTTCCAAGTAATTCATCTGTGTCATATTGGAGACTTCAATTGATGACCAATAATTATCAGTAACTGCCATGTTGCACTGGGTGACATTTGATAGTATTGCCATATATATGGACACTGTAGGATATTTTGAATCAATCCAAAATACACTGATCTGCTGTTGTAAAAAGTCACTATTGCACCAAATACATATTAATCCGCAGATGAAAATAGTCACTAGAAAATGCACCATTAACTCCTGTTTTAGAGTAATGTTGACTCAAAAACACAGTGAAAGAACAGAAATGTACTTCATCGGTTGGCTACAAAATTCTTTGTGTAGACTTCCTAGAGATGGTCTATACATTTTCAAAAATTGTGTTGTCTTCCTGATAAAATAAGGATCAATTAGTAGCCTAGACCAGAACAGATCCACAAGCCTTCACTGGTATTTCTCTTCCACGACCCCTTGACGGCCAACTGAGAATCAACCATACAGCTCGGAACATTGTCAGGAAGTGCACTAATGAGCTTGTTAACTTCAATCACTCCTTCTACATAGACATTTGGGAAAGAATTGATCCCATCCAAGAGGAATTAATCTCATTAGAGCTCCAGAGTCATATAGATTTTGCCTGCTTGGCGTAATTGATGTTCCTATTGTACAGGTCTAATTGACTCAGCATGGGGTTTCTGAGCAGCTGTGGGATGTAGGAGACTCCACCAAACTTTGAGCCAACCACAGGCCTTTAGAAAAGTAGGCAAGGCAGTGGACAAAAAGTGCCTCTGTGTGTTATATTAAAACATAATAAGTGAACAAAGAGTGCTGCACTCAGAATGTTACTTCAGTTTAGCAATACCTCAGTTGTTGCTTTGTCTTGGATGGTTAATTTTGGACTCCCTACTTATAAATGCTCTGATGTTAATATCATATGCTATTGCAAAGCCCGTCATACAATGTTTACAATTTTTTTTTACATAAAAGTACATTGAATGTAAAATTGTGCAAAATGTCTCTTATGCTGCTGCCGGTAAAGATACTGTAGGGCTACATGTTACTCTCCTGGCTGGTAGC